TCGAAAAAAAGCTCGTGTTGATTTGTCGGGAGTAATGCTCAAAAAATACGATCGCAGTGCTTCGAAACACGTCTGTGACATCGAGGCAGTTAGTGGACCATGGATTTACGGGTATGAGCCCGAAAGTAAATAGCAGTCGACCGTATGGGTATTTCAAAATGAGCCAAATCCAACAAAAGCTGTCCGCGCACGAAGCACTCCCAAGCAAATGGTCCCCTGTTTTGTTGGAAAAACTGGACATGTCGCAACCGTACCATTAGAACAAGCAGAGCAGTCAATTCTGAGTGGTATAAAACCATTTGTTTGCCAGTTGCCTTCCAAAAAATCAGGAGAACCAACTGCCGAAGACGGATCACTCCTCACCACGATAATGCGAGCTCCCACATATCGGCTCAAACAATTGCATTTTTTACCAATCAAAACAACGCTTAAATGAGTCATAAGCCATATAGTCCCCGGGTGACTTCTTCTTATCCCGTACGTAAAAAATGAAAAGTAAGGTTAACGTTTTTCAACACCTGTGAAAGCCGCTGATGCGTTCAGAATGCATGTTTTAGAGTTACCTCAATCAAAATGGCAAAAGTGCTTCGAAAATTGGTACGAACGCATGCAAAAGTGTATAGATCCTAATGTGGAAAATTTTGAAAGGCAGTAAAGCGATTTTCAATGTTTGTTGTTTATTTTTGTTCTCTTATGCCGAAATATAAAATGCAACCTACGTACTAGTAAAATGTTCTGAGCCCGACATACTGAGAATTCGACGACTGAAGGCACAGTTTACAGCATAAATGGTTTTTGAGATATCCTCTTAGGATGATTCCAAAGCCTTCCGTATACCATATGGGGTAGTCAGATCGGATAATGATCTCAATGGTGGGTCACAAAAATTGTATCGTGATGCTGCGCGCCGCACCCAAGGATGGACGAGTTTTACCAGTGCTATAGAGACCACACCATTCTTAAGGGACACCCAATTGGAAATTCAAACAGCTATTCCATGGGGCGACAGGAGAAAACTGTTTTGGGCATTCTCGGCTCAATCTAGTCAGCTCTTTGCGCAAATGCAACAACTAAAATCTCGTCCGATACCCCCCTCCCTCCCTCCCCCCATGACGATTCTGTCATGGTCATTTCGTACNNCCTCCATTATCGTCACTTCGGGAGTGTATCTTCTCACCGAGCCGCCACTCTAGATCGCGCGCTATGTAGGGAAAATTCGAACTCTCAGAGGAAGGGTACGGCTGTCGCCACTGCCACTGGTCTTGGGAAGTTCCGCCACCCCGTCACTTTTGGGAGGCCTTTTTTCGTGAATTCGGTGGATTTTCTCGCTTTCTTCGCCACCGATGACCTATTCCCTAACAACACTGCCGCCTTCGAACTTAAAACAGGTCTGGCATGGTGGATTCTGCCCCTCATTAACGATGAACATGCCCGGGTGTACAAAAAGGTCAATAGGCATTCACGCACTTCTTGAAATCAAAGCATAAGCCATGGTTTAACTTACTGTTAGTGCTTGCTCCTCCCAGAACTGCAAACGTTTTTTTTTTCAACTTAGTTCGTCACCACCTTCTACTATATGTACTACAGCTGATTATCTAATTTACTTCCAGTAGATCAAACGACTTCGATAATTAGCAAAACATATTTGCTTTAAGTAATAATGCGACTGCTATGTGCGCTCATATCCGACGATCGGATTTTGTCGAATTGGAAGTGGCTACCGATCTACATAAAAGCATTCGCGACATGGAAAGTATAGCTCTTCAGCAGGTCATTTCAATTTTTCACCAAAAGATCAAAACACCAAAATGAAAAAAATTGAACCTGAGGAGTACATAAGCCTAAGGTTTACGAAAAAGTTTTAAGCAAAGCTTTTTGTTTTGTGACTTGGAACAACACGTTCGCAATAAATATTAAAACAGTCTTCTTAGGTAGCTGGACCATGGAGAATGACTAAGCGGTAACTCCCTCGTTCCGTTTATATTCTATTCTTTCAGGGTCTCTCAGATTACTTGATATTTGGTGATGATGTAGATTTCATGAGACGCATGGTTGAGGCACTCAGGATAAAAATGCGAGAAGGATCGGTAAGTTGAAGTACAAGCAGCTAGTGGAAGCTCGGTGGGAGAATTATTATTCAGACATGAAACTACTCCTTCCACACTTCATGAAACCTTAAAGTGTAGAAGTAAGGACGAGTGTAGAGATACCCACTGGGAGATGTGGAACAAGGTTCAGCAAAGATGGGTTATTTCATTTCAATCCCATTCCAGAGAGCCTTCTTCTCAACAAATACTGAAGGGATCGACTTCTATGTAGCTTCACAGGCTTGCGGTGCTATGCTGATCACAGCTCCGACGTCTACATTTGGCTGGTGGTTGGCATTCTTCACACCAAAACAGAATGCCGTCTTTTATAGTAACGATAGGCGAAGGATGGCCGACAAAGTTCCACAAAAGGACTTGTTCTTGTACGTTTTCATTCTTCTTCATTTACGCAATGTTCACAGTTCGAAATGCTTGTTCAAAAACAAAGCCCCTCCACCATTTCGGGGATTAGGAAAGGTGTATAACACTTTTTTTGTGGTTGGGGTCTACCCAGACATGCCAATTCCTTAATTTCATGACTTTTAATGAAGCACTACATCTACCCGTGTGTATCCAAAAAACAAGTCTTAAACGGCTCCTACTCGGGTTAATGGAAGCGCTTACAACAAAACGATCTTGACGGTGTCGAACAATGTCTAGATTAAATCTGCTTACTTTGCAGGTCTACATGGAGGCCGTATTGAAATCGTGGAACTAAGAGCAGCTTCAGTTGAATACATATCTCAAAATCAATGGGTGTTTTCTATGGGGTGTAGGATTTTGCACCCGAAAGAGTGCGCCGTGCTAGTCGCCCCCACTGCGTACTGGAGCGCGCATTGTAAGGGCGACAGTTGAATTCACAATGAATGTTTACGATTACTACAGCAAATCCGCTGCCATGTAGAGCCAACGACTGCGGTAATTCGGGTGCAAAATCCATCATCCATTTTTCTGCACACATAACTGTACATTTACTGCTGAAGATCGCTTTATTTGAGGAAAATTTACTCTTGCGCAGAGTTTGTTGATTTTTTGTATTTCATGGTCTACCTGTCTTTTCATTGTTTTGTATAAAGAACGAAGTTTAGTCGTCAATCAATCCCGGTTCGGAGAACATCCCAACACATGCGATTAGGATCATGGTTGTTTTTGGATGCCTATTCGGCCTACGCAACGTTGTGCAGGGGCCAATTACTACTTTACGTAATAGAAGTGTAAATCCCCTTATAATGCCACGATTGCAGTGACGAGCATTTTGATGAGCAATAGCCTCTTAATAAAATCGGAGTTGTAAGAACTACTAAAAGGATAAGGGAGCGGGAGGGAAGGCGAGGGCGCATACTATGAGTGAAATTCGAAGCGCAGTATGCCAAACATCTCCCTCCACTTCATTAATTTCGTTTATAACCTGAGAAAGTACCCGAGAAATTAAACACATTCGAGAAGCACTTGAGAGTTTCAAGGCACGCCAGCGAAAGTTTTGCCGACCCAAATCTTACTCTTATACTCGATTACAAAAGTACAGAACAGTACTGAGTGACAAGAATAATTTGGTATTTGTAGCAGTTGCTCTTTAAAGCAGCACAGCAAATCGAATGATTGAATCAGTTGAGAGGCTAGTACATAGAAGTCCCAAATCAGCTTCTGTGAGATGATTTGAGTTTGTTCATTGTAATGAGATCACAAACCAGAACAAAAGATTCGGTTGTGCTTGGACATAGTTCACGGGGAACATGACTACATATGTATTACCGTTCAAAGATAAGGGAACTGTAAAAGGGACTGATGGGAGACAAATGTGAGCCGAATAGTCAAATCCAGAGAGATGAAGAGGAAATACCTGGGTCAACCCCGCCTAATTTCGTTCCGCAGTATCAAGTACAGTGCCAAAAACGACCGTATTTTCAAAACTCCGCTAAACGACCTCTTTAAGGCACCGTTAGCAATAAATTTAGGGTACCCTTTTTTGAGGGGAACTGATAGAACTACTCTAGAATAAAGCGATAACAACGAAAAAAGCGCAAAAAACGATGAATGAAAAGAATTACA